ATTATTCTGAATTCATCCTGAGAGCACTCACCTGCTCAGCTACAGCAGCTCAGCCTTTGGTCTGAAATTCAAGCAGGAAAGTGAAGATCATGTGGGTGGTTCTGTACCTTGTGGTGCTGTTTGAGCAGCTCAGGGCTCATCAGGCTCCAAGGTCTCCTCCAGCCCCTGCCCAGCACAGCCCCGTCCCTGCAGAGAGCTCCGAGTCAGTGCCTGGATTCTCCTCGGCCTTGGGAAACTTTCCCCTTTCTCATCACGGGTTGCTTGGTCACTTCTTGGTGCAACTCAGAGCAAGCCCAGAAGAGCAGCTCATGAGTGACCTCCCTGAACTCAGCCAAGAGGGAAAAAAGAGTTAATTAACATAGGCAGGAATTTTCCCCTTCACTTGGGTGTGCTGGGACTGGCCTTTGGCCCTACAATCACATCCAGAAATTATTGGGTAAGATGAAAGGCTGGAGAGAGGCACTTCCACTTGAGATTTTAATTTCAGCAGATTGGCTCACCGAGGCTGCTGTGACCCTCTGCCCTTCAGGGAGGCAGCTGGAGCTCTCCCAGGGGCTGCTCCTGGGATTTGGATGAGCAGGTGGACTCACACTGATCCCAGAGGTCTGGTAAAAGCTGCCTGGCTCCAGGATTGCAGGATTGCTGAGGCTGCCCAGGCACGGAGCTGCTGGCCAAGCAGAGGTTCATGTGCTGCCAGAGCAGGGTGAGCCACTTAAACCCAATTAAACACCTTAATGAACCTTTCCCTGAGGGGCTTTCAATTACCTGGAGCAGAGGAGAGCTGGGAAGGGCCTGAGCTCCGTGGTTGATTGGATCAGGAGCTGGGGAGGGCTGTGCTCCTGTGGGACCAAACTCCTTTGTTTGCTCAGGGATCACCGACAGGCACATCCCAAATCAATCCCAAACCTGGGCAAGGCTTGTGGAGTTCTGCTCAAATCTCTCTAAACATTAAAAAAAAAAAGAGTTCATCCCTTCCAGGTGATGAACTGCTGCTCATTTCTCTGGTCTGTGTGTGCAGAGCTTTGGGGTGTGCAGGTGTGGAGCTGAGAAAATGTGGGGAACAAATACTGGGAGCTGCTGTGGGATCTGCAGAGCAAGGGTGGATTTTGAGATCACTTTAAGAGAGGTGAACTGTGAATGTGTTTTGGTGGAAATACTGGAGAATTGCAGGATCTGTGTGGCCTGCATTCCTTTACTCTGGAATGAGGCACTGACAGCCTGGGAGAGCTGGGAGTGCCCACCTGGAGAGGAGAAGGATCCAGGGAAACCTTAGAGCCCCTTCCAGAGCCTGAAGGGGCTC